AGTCTTCCTGTCCTGAAGCCTCCCTTCCGAACCAGACGACACTTTTAATGCAGAAATGACACAAAATGCCGTTTTGAGCTTCTTATAAATGATGATTTCCTGTCTTTCACTGTTATCTGTTTCTCACATCAGATTAAAGTGAGTGTCTTTGGGTTTTGGACCAACATCACATGACATTCTAAAAGATTTGAAAGACTTTGAGAAACTTGGATTTACTTTTTCACTATTCTCGACATTTTATCGAACGAAAAATAGTCAATAATTGTCATATTTTGCGACAAATCTAACTAATACTCTTTTGGTTCAGTCCCCCTCTCCCTCCTTTCTTAACCCTCACTATAGTATCATAGAGCCGATATTGAACATTGACTTGACGTAAGAGATATTCTGATCTGATTCTGTTTTTAAAGAGTACCTGACCTCCCTTTATTTAATAGAACATATGTCATTGTTAGCTAATGAATGTTTCCATGCTGAAACAACGGCACATGACACGTTTCCATTGGTCCCTCTTCTTTAGAAGACCAGGAAATGATGATACACGGATCATGTTCAAATCAATAGGCACGCAATGACTCTAAAGAATAATGATCACGCATCAAACACACATTCAGACTAAAGGAACCAGCTGTTTGGAAATGAGAGAAGTAGAAAGTACAGGTATTTGTGTTCAACATGTAAGAAGTAGAAAGTACAGGTATTTTGAGTTCAACATGTAAGAAGTAGAAAGTACAGGTATTTGAGTTCAACATGTGAGAAGTAGAAATACAGGTATTTGAGTTCAACCTGTAAGAATAGAAAGTACAGTATTTGAGTTCAACATGTAAGAAGTAGAAGTACAGGTTTGTGTTCAACATGTAAAAGTAGAAAGTACAGGTATTTGAGTTCAACATGTAGAAGTAGAAAGTACAGGTATTTGTGTTCAACATGTAAGAAGTAGAAAGTACAGGTATTTGTGTTCAACATGTAAGAAGTAGAAAGTACAGGTATTTTGGTTCAACATGTAAGAAGTAGAAGTACAGGTTTTGGGTTCAACATGTAAGAAGTAGAAAGTACAGGTATTTGAGTTCAACGTAAGAGTAGAAAGTACAGGTATTTGAGTTCACATGTAAGAAGTAGAAAGTACAGGTATTTGTGTTCAACATGTAAGAAGTAGAAAGTACAGGTATTTGAGTTCAACATGTAAGAAGTAGAAAGTACAGGTATTTGTGTTCAACATGTAAGAAGTAGAAAGTACAGGTATTTGAGTTCAACATGTAAGAAGTAGAAAGTACAGGTATTTTGTTCAACATGTAAGAAGTAGAAAGTACAGGTATTTGTGTTCAACATGTGAGAAGTAGAAAGTACAGGTATTTGAGTTCAACATGTGAGAAGTAGAAAGTACAGGTATTTGAGTTCAACATGTAAGAAGTAGAAAGTACAGGTATTTGTGTTCAACATGTGAGAAGTAGAAAGTACAGGTATTTGAGTTCAACATGTGAAAAGTAGAAAGTACAGGTATTTGAGTTCAACATGTGAGAAGTATAAAGTACAGGTATTTGAGTTCAACATGTAAGAAGTAGAAAGTACAGGTATTTGTGTTCAAAATGTAAGAAGTCAAAGTAAAAAGTCGTCAGAAAATACACACACACACACACACACACACACACACACACACTACTTGTTACTGGGCAGATCCAGTTTCACACACGTGTTCCCCCCCCCCCGACGGGACACTTTAAACGTCTCCGGTCCGTTTGGCTGGCTGGCCCGACAGCGGCGATCCAATCAGAACCTGGAAAATAAAGAACTGTCGTGATGGTCAGGTTTGAAACAATGCCAACAACCACAGGTTAAGCAACTCAAGTGTTATTGCAGGACATTACACTCTGACTTGCCTTAATTATATCCGTAAATAGCTAAATTACACATCAAACAGCCGGCTCTTATTGGCCGTTATGGCGTAAGTATAACTGGCTGGTGAATCTGTGGTTTATCATATTATTATATTATCATATGAAACTGAAACAGCTCAATAAAACAAACAGCTAATCAACACTTTATGCCATACTAATGCATGATATGTGCAGATGTTGGTACAGTGGTTCTTTCTGCTCTGTATCCGAACATGTTAGAGTTGCATGTGTTTCATAACGTGGTGTCGGAAAGAGCCGTTCCTCTGCCGTCCTGTAAACACTACGACTTATTAACATTCCTGAACTGTAATGAGCCCTGGACATCTAAAGTGGACCAGCAACAACTCTCTGTCCGTGAGAAACACACACATGTACTGGCTCTCTTATGATGGATGCTCTAGAGATGATTGTTCTTGACATGATCTGAGTTTGAATAATTGACTACAGATTGGTTCACAGAGGATGAATAACAGCTCCAAGAAGTTTCATCACGTGCAATCCGCCCTATATGAGTCTAATTCAAATGAGATACTACGCTAATGATTCTATAGCACAAACATGCCTCTACAGTTTAGCAGCAATTTGTCCTTTTTCAGTTACCACCAAAAATGTCACTGTTCATTTGTGGAATTACTGTTCCTGCTTTGTTCCTAAAAAATACCCAATTTGACACAAAATGTTTGCATATTATCCTCTCCTGCTGTGTCTCTACTTTAAAGAGTCCTCTCCTGCCGATGTTCAGGTGTATATCAGTATGCTGTGTCTCTACTTTAAAGAGTCCTCTCCTGCTGATGTTCAGGTGTATATCAGTATGTAGTGTCTCTACTTTAAAGAGTCCTCTCCTGCTGATGTTCAGGTGTATATCAGTATGTAGTGTCTCTACTTTAAAGAGTCCTCTCCTGCTGATGTTCAGGTATATATCAGTATGCTGTGTCTCTACTTTAAAGAGTCCTCTCCTGCTGATGTTCAGGTGTATATCAGTATGTAGTGCCTCTACTTTAAAGAGTCCTCTCCTGATGATGTTCAGGTGTATATCAGTATGTAGTGTCTCTACTTTAAAGAGTCCTCTCCTGCTGATGTTCAGGTGTATATCAGTATGTAGTGTCTCTACTTTAAAGAGTCCTCTCCTGCTGATGTTCAGGTGTATATCAGTATGTAGTGTTCTACTTTAAAGAGTCCTCTCCTGCTGATGTTCAGGTGTATATCAGTATGTAGTGTCTCTACTTTAAAGAGTCCTCTCCTGCTGATGTTCAGGTGTATATCAGTATGTAGTGTCTCTACTTTAAAGAGTCCTCTCCTGCTGATGTTCAGGTGTATATCAGTATGTAGTGTCTCTACTTTAAAGAGTCCTCTCCTGCTGATGTTCAGGTGTATATCAGTATGTAGTGTCTCTACTTTAAAGAGTCCTCTCCTGCTGATGTTCAGGTGTATATCAGTATGTAGTGTCTCTACTTTAAAGAGTCCTCTCCTGCTGATGTTCAGGTGTATATCAGTATGTAGTGTCTCTACTTTAAAGAGTCCTCTCCTGCTGATGTTCAGGTGTATATCAGTATGTAGTGTCTCTACTTTAAAGAGTCCTCTCCTGCTGATGTTCAGGTGTATATCAGTATGTAGTGTCTCTACTTTAAAGGTGTCTCTACTTTAAAGGAGTCCTCTCCTGTGTTTTTCACATGGTCTCTTTGACTTTGAATTTAAAGAGATACCGTGTTCATATCTGCTCCTTTATAAGAGCCAGCTGTTTCAACGAATCACATCCAACTCTTGCCAAGAACTCAAACCAAACATGTCAAACTCTGTCTTTACGGTCAGAAAGTGAAAGTTGTTTCTTATCAAGTAGTTGTTTTTTTACAACCCCTTTGGATTGTTTGTTTGATCGTGGAAACATTATCTCGATTGCTCTCTTCAAACAAGTAATAATGAGTTTGTTTGTAGAGGACATTTCGGGCTGACTCAACATCATCATGGCATTTCTCTGATAACTGTGCCAGGAGAATTGTGATGGAAGAGAGAGGAGGGAGGGTGTGTGTGTGTGTGTGTGCGTGTGTGTGTGTGTGTGTGTGTGTGTGTGTGTGTGTGTGTGGGAGACATCTGTGACTAATCACCACCTCCCAGTTGTGGTACCGTCTGTCTCCTGGATGTTACAGAGAGATTTTACTGAGGCTACATTTCATCTCTAATTTTATCGTTCCCCCTCCCCTGTTCCTTTCTTTGAGACCTCCTCCATCATTCTGTTTTATCTCTTCATTTTCCACCTCCTTTATTTGCTCATGGTCACTGTCTATGAAGGACTAAAAATGAACATAAAAATATATACAATTCATAATTAAATAACCAAAAAAAAATGCAAAAGTTAAATTATTAGAGATTTTTTGAAGGATTTAAGAGTTGGCATTTTGGACGTATTGAAGTTTTTATTTGTTATTGTCTTATTCAATTATTTCCCAATTCGTGCACATGTATTTCCCCATTGATTTACTTCTTTCATATTTCTGTATTTATTAAATAAACACAGTAATGAAGAAATCAAATAATGAAAAAAGGAAATAAATAAATGTGAAAAATAATAAAAACATATAAAAAATAAATAAATATATAAATAAGGAAAGTAATTCAGAAAGAAATAAAAATTGGGAGGAAATTAAATAGAACAATAAATGCCTTTAAAACAAGTAATTCCTCAAATAACATATTTAAAAAAATGCATTTATACTTAACAACCTGAATGTTTATTTGATATTTTATTAACTTCTACTCATTTTTGTTTTACGGATGTATAAACTGTCTAATTGTTGAAAGAGTAAAATAAGTTAAAAATAAATTAAAATAGTTCAGGTGTATATCAGTATGTCGTGTCTCTACTTTAAAGAGTCCTCTCCTGCTGATGTTCAGGTGTATATCAGTATGTAGTGTCTCTACTTTAAAGAGTCCTCTCCTGCTGATGTTCAGGTGTATATCAGTATGTAGTGTCTCTACTTTAAAGAGTCCTCTCCTGCTGATGTCAGGTGTGTATCAGTATGTAGTGTCTCTACTTTAAAGAGTCCTCTCCTGCTGATGTTCAGGTGTATATCAGTATGTAGTGTCTCTACTTTAAAGAGTCCTCTCCTGCTGATGTTCAGGTGTGTATCAGTATGTAGTGTCTCAACTTTAAAGAGTCCTCTCCTGCTGATGTTCAAGTGTATATCAGTATGTCGTGTCTCTACTTTAAAGAGTCCTCTCCTGCTGATGTTCAGGTGTATATCAGTATGTAGTGTCTCTACTTTAAAGAGTCCTCTCCTGCTGATGTTCAGGTGTATATCAGTATGTAGTGTCTCTACTTTAAAGAGTCCTCTCCTGCTGATCTTCAGGTGTGTATCAGTATGTAGTGTCTCTACTTTAAAGAGTCCTCTCCTGCTGATGTTCAGGTGTATATCAGTATGTAGTGTCTCTACTTTAAAGAGTCCTCTCCTGCTGATGTTCAGGTGTGTATCAGTATGTAGTGTCTCAACTTTAAAGAGTCCTCTCCTGCTGATGTTCAAGTGTATATCAGTATGTAGTGTCTCTACTTTAAAGAGTCCTCTCCTGCTGATCTTCAGGTGTATATCAGTATAGTGTCTCTACTTTAAAGAGTCCTCTCCTGCTGATGTTCAGGTGTATATCAGTATGTAGTGTCTCTACTTTAAAGAGTCCTCTCCTGCTGATCTTCAGGTGTATATCAGTATGTAGTTGTCTCTACTTTAAAGAGTCCTCTCCTGCTGATGTTCAGGTGTATATCAGTATGTAGTGTCTCTACTTTAAAGAGTCCTCTCCTGCTGATCTTCAGGTGTATATCAGTATAGTGTCTCTACTTTAAGAGTCCTCTCCTGCTGATGTTCAGGTGTAATCAGCATGTAGTGTCTCTACTTTAAAGAGTCCTCTCCTGCTGATGTTCAGGTGTATATCAGTATGTAGTTGTCTCTACTTTAAAGAGTCCTCTCCTGCTGATGTTCAGGTGTATATCAGTATGTAGTGTCTCTACTTTAAAGAGTCCTCTCCTGCTGATCTTCAGGTGTATATCAGTATAGTGTCTCTACTTTAAAGAGTCCTCTCCTGCTGATGTTCAGGTGTATATCAGCATGTAGTGTCTCTACTTTAAAGAGTCCTCTCCTGCTGATGTTCAGGTGTATATCAATATGTAGTGTCTCTACTTTAAAGAGTCATCTCCTGCTGATGTTCAGGTGTATATCAGTATGTAGTGTCTCTACTTTTAAGAGTCCTCTCCTGCTGATGTTCAGGTGTATATCAGTATGTAGTGTCTCTACTTTAAAGAGTCCTCTCCTGCTGATGTTCAGGTGTATATCAGTATGTCGTGTCTCTACTTTAAAGAGTCCTCTCCTGCTGATGTTCAGGTGTATATCAGTATGTCGTGTCTCTACTTTAAAGAGTCCTCTCCCTCTGATGTTCAGGTGTATATCAGTATGTAGTGTCTCTACTTTAAAGAGTCCTCTCCTGCTGATAATTTTTTTTTGTTTTTTTTTTGAGTGATTTATCTTTGTATTTATTGTTATGGCAGCTTTAGTCCTGCATATCTCCCCCACATTGTTCTTTAATCACACTCTTATCATGTCTTTGAGTTTTACTGTGTTTTGAACTGGAACTAAACGCCACTTATGTGTTTTCGGGGAACAGCTGGCTGCGCTGATTAACGCAGAGTGAGGTATTGTAACTGAACTCAGATGACGTGGATAAGATCAGAAAAATATGAGGTACGACGTGGGAAAACCCGCCGTGTGTTGCAACAGATTTGAGAAATAAACTCCTGAGTAACCGAAGGAGAGATGTGCCAATAACCGCACTGTAATAGATTTTAACGAGGGGTTTTTAAATGTTCTCCCACACAGTTTAAGCACGGCGCTGCGGATGCTTGGTTTCAGTGTTTACAGCTCGGTGTGGAGACTGAGGTTAACAGCAGCAGTAAAGAGAAGGGGCCTCATTACTGCTGAAGCTGGGGGATCTACTTTTTTACAGGTTAATGAAGGGTCCTCTTAATGCTGTGGTTTTAAATTAAACTGAGCTTGGTTTAATATAACTTTTTTGGCTCTCTGAAACAATACTGATGGGTATTTAGTGGTTAAGAATTCTAAAAACCACTAGAGCAAAATAACCAGTTTGTGTTTGACAGAGGTGGGAAGTACAAATACTTCATTACTGTACTTAAGTACAAGTTTCTGGTATCAGTACTTTACTCAACTACTTTCTGACGACTTTTTACTTTGACTTCTTACATGTTGAACACAAATACCTGTACTTTCTACTTCTTACATGTTGAACTCAAATACCTGTACTTTCTACTTCTCACATGTTGAACTCAAATACCTGTACTTTCTACTTCTCACATGTTGAACACAAATACCTGTACTTTCTACTTCTCACATGTTGAACCCAAATACCTGTACTTTCTACTTCTTACATGTTGAACACAAATACCTGTACTTTCTACTTCTTACATGTTGAACCCAAATACCTGTACTTTCTACTTCTCACATGTTGAACTCAAATACCTGTACTTTCTACTTCTTACATGTTGAACCCAAATACCTGTACTTTCTACTTCTCACATGTTGAACCCAAATACCTGTACTTTCTACTTCTTACATGTTGAACTCAAATACCTGTACTTTCTACTTCTCACATGTTGAACCCAAATACCTGTACTTTCTACTTCTTACATGTTGAACTCAAATACCTGTACTTTCTACTTCTCACATGTTGAACCCAAATACCTGTACTTTCTACTTCTTACATGTTGAACTGAAATACCTGTACTTTCTACTTCTTACATGTTGAACTCAAATACCTGTACTTTCTACTTCTTACATGTTGAACACAAATACCTGTACTTTCTACTTCTCACATGTTGAACTCAAATACCTGTACTTTCTACTTCTTACATGTTGAACTCAAATACCTGTACTTTCTACTTCTCTCATTCTCCAAACAGCTGGTTCCTTTAGTCTGAATGTGTGTTTGGTGCGTGATCATTATTCTTTAGAGTCATTGCGTGCCTATTGATTTGAACACGATCCGTGTATCCATCATTTCCTGGTCTTCTCTAAAGAAGAGGGACCAATGGAAACGTTGTCATGTTGCCGTTGTTCAGCATGGAAACATTCATTAGCTAACAATGACATTATTGTTCTATTAATATAAAGGGAGGTCAGGTACTCTTTAAAGCAGCTGCTAGTTATGGGTACTTTTTACTGAAGTACATTTCAAATCCTCTTTACTTTTACTTGAGTAAAGAAGTTTAGTCAGTACTTCTACTTTCACCAGAGTATTTTTAAACACGAGTATCTGTACTTCTACTTGAGTAAAGGATGTGTGTATTTTTGCCCTCTCTGACTACAGTGCAGTTAAATCACCATCACAGCCTCTTGTGTTTCTGTGTCTGTGAGTGGAGGAGGAGATGATTTAGTGCTGATAGATTTCGATGCTCACCATTTCCCCTCGCTGTTCTCAAACTGCTGCACGGTGTACCCGAACATGTCCTCCAGCGGACCGTCGAACGACAAAGAGTTCTTCGAGTCCACGTTGAAGGAGAATACGCAGGACAGCAGCGCTGCAGAGAGGAGGAGAAACCACAGGTTAGAGAGATGGTAAAAGCACACACGTCCTTTACTCAAGTAGAAGTACACACGTCCTTTACTCAAGTAGAAGTACAGATACTCGTGTTTAAAAATGGTAAAAGTAGAAGTATTTGTACTCCACTACTTCCCACCTCTGGAAGTTAAACAGAATATCAGATACTGAGCTGCTGTCAGGAGACATTAAAACATCTCAGTGATTCGTGAATAGGGCAATATATAAATGGGGACATCACTAGATATTATCTTAGGTTTTGGATACCGTAATACGTGTTGTTTTTCCCTGCTTTTAAAGGTTTATTTGTCCAAAGTTATAAAATCATGACATCAGGTTTTGCATTGGGGCAAAAAAAGTAAATCAATTCATTAAAACAGAAATATGTTAATATCAAAATATAATATGCCATTTTGGTAAATAAGTCGATCCTACAGTAAAAAGTCATCGCAGTATAATCATTTATATTTAAAGAAAATGGTGATATTTGATACAGCCCAGGTCTACTTGCTGATATTCCAACACTGAAATAAGAAACGTGTGTATTCAATTTGACATAAAAACAACATTTTGATTTCATTTATTTGCATTTTTTACCAAAAATCATTTTGTATTAGATATTATTAACGCAAAATGTCAACCATACAATATTGGGAATTTGTTCAAAAATATCAATTCGATTTCCCCCTCCCCCCCCCCCCCATGTCACCCAGCTCTATTCATAAATACTCCAATATGAAATAAGATACTTGTGTATTTATCTTCTAAGAAAGATATTTCATTAAGTAAAAGTCTGGCATGGACAGACATTATTAATAAATATTTATAAAAATGTCAGGATGGAAGACGGAAATCACAAATAAACAGATCTAGTTACAGAATAACGTAATAAATAATACATATTTTGGTCATCGAGCCAAAATATTGATATAAATCTAATGAGAAATAGACATATTGTGTACTGATATGAAGGCTGAGCTGTGTGACCATATCACTCACACACACACACACACACACACACACACACACACACACGTCATGTTGGAGGCCACTGGAGGAATTTCATCCGTCGGTGTGAAGCGTTTGCTCTGACCGGCAGGACAAATGTCTTCCTGTCTCCGATGGACCGTCTGTTTCTGAGCGGAGTTTATTTCACAGACTCTCGATATAAACCCAAGCGAGTCTCATTGTGAACGCGCCACAATGAAACTCTTTATGCCCACTGTGTGAGGGAATTCCTGCAGAGTAATTTTATTCGACTTGTGAGGACACAGAACACATACATGGAGAGTCAATAACAAGTGTGTGAGGAGGACGATCTGGAGCTAATGTGTCCGACCCTAAAGGAGAATGGAGACCAAATGGAGTCTGGGTTGTGTCTGAAGAGTCATTATAGATGTTCTAACCATGCAAAGAGAGGATGCTGCTCAGACAGTGCATCGTTTTAGTGCAGTCTGAAATATATAGACGACTTTTGGATGGATTGCTTTGACATTTGGTGCAGACATTCATGTTCCCCAGGGCCCAGTAGTTCAACACTGGAAATCTGATCAGATCAGATTTGGATTTTGGGTAGTTCAAAACCAAAAACCAGGATTAGGATCATCTTGATATCCGATCAGATCAGGAAATCCAAGCTTTAATCTGGATCAAAACTTCAAAACGAGTTCAAACCGACGACACAGGATTGGGATCAGTTTGATCCCAAAAAAACGGGTTATCCTGATCCCACCAGAGGGGTGGGTTTCCAGTGGATTACCAGAGCAAAATGTACTGTACAATATATTTTAAAATATGTTTCAATATAAATAAGATGGCAAAGTTTGTTAACTGAAATAATACACAATTGTTAGCCTTCATGGCAAATCAATTTTATTTTTCATGTTTGGTCACGTTTGTGGTGGCCTGCTTTGTTTTCAACCAAATGTTGACGACATAAATGTTTATGCTCATAAAAGTATCAAAACAAAGATTGTCAATCACAAATGTAATTTAGATTAAAGAAAAAATATCTTCAACAAAAAAAAAGTCCGTCATCTGTCATCAGCTTTCAAACGGACAATAGATGTCTCTGCAATAGAGAACCGCAGTGACGCGTCCTAAAACCCGGAAGTAAGTTGGCATTTTTACCACGTCCGGTTCCTTCGATAAAAAGCAATGCAATCTCTCCATAGGGTTTGGAAAATAGCTCCAAATAAGGTCTGTGTTTGACACAAATTGAAGAGACAGATCACGTTTTGTTCTACGACATTAAATCCATCAGCAGTGATCCCGCTGGTGATTTCTGAAGAGGTGACGTGTCTGAAAAACGATGGTTGTTACCAAGTGGCTGAATAGGACTACAGAAGTTGTCCAGGCCGTTGTACGTCATTACACCGAACACGTAAACACTCCTAAGTTACTTTGCCCTGTTCTGCTTGAAAGCAAGTCCCTGCCTCCTGCAAACTGTTCAAACACTTCAACTCGTACCATTTAGAGTCTGTATGTTTGAATATGGATCTGAAGTCGGCGTGACGCTGAAGCAGCGACCCAGCTGTAGTTCCTTTATAGCATAGCGTTAGCATTTTGCTTCTGGCGACTAGATGTATGCTTCAAAAATTATAAAAGTAGGATGGACATGTGGAGATTATCCGGCTAAACAAAACGTGATCCGTCTCTTCAATGTGTCTCAACCACAGACCTTATTTCCAGCTATTTTCCAAAATCCTATGGAGAAATTGCATTGCTTTTTGACGAAGGAACCGGAAGGAGTTTACATCTGGGTTTTAGGACGCGTCACTGCGGTTCTCTATGTGGTCTCTTGTGTTCCTTGTATTATTTTTCATATCCACTAGATGGCGCTCGGTAGGATTAAAGCACTGATATTCAGGATCGAGTCATCTTGAACAGTCTGAATCTGGATCAGGGCGATCCTATCCGGAATTGCTTTGAACTACAGGGACAAAATCTGAGTTGTCTGATCCTGGATCACAGAAAATGGGATTTCGGATCTGATTGAGATTCAAAGTGTTGAACTACTGGGCCCAGAGGATAGACCCTACCAACGTTGGTGATGCTCTAAGTTGCCTTGAACACCACCACAAGGTTGATATTACAAATTCTGAGTGAAATATCTAAACAACTTTTGCTATGACATGTTGCGCATGTTCCCCAGAGGATGCACCCTAACTGCTTTAGTAATGTTCTTCATTTTCCGTAGTAGACCCTAAAGTTCACATTTTTTGTTGTAATGAACTATCTCAACACGTTTCTGAATGCATTGCTACGAACTTGTTACACTCACTCCAGGTTGAACTTTAGATGCTGTGACTGTTCATAAAAGCACCTTCAACAAGTTCAACTATTGATGTGTCTTATACTCGGTTTATGGCCAAAACATGCTCAAATAATGACATTTGCATTAACTTAGCTTCACTATGTGTAACACACGTAATGCCGATAGTGAATATAGTCTACCTGCTAAGCATAGCATGTTAGCTTTTCCATTATGAGTATGGAGCTAACTCTTAGTACCAACTAGTTTATGTTGAAGTGATAGATCGTAATGATATCAATACAAAACATCTTTAAGATACATATGTTATGCTTTATGTCCCCTGTAACCCAAACTCTGCAGATCCTCTTCGCATCTGTCAGCTAATTGTTATGTTTTTTTGCATTCTTACCCCTTCATCAGACAAATAAAGCTTTGAAAAATACCTATAGCAAGTCACATAAAAACATCTTGTTCAATGGTGTAGGTAACTTCCCAAGATATAAACGAGTGTAAACAGAGACAGAAATAACATCCCCTGCTAACAGGACATACTTGGATCAGTGCACTTCTATAGACCATAACTTAAGAAGGCTTTAAAGCATGGTCTGTTAGCAGCCCCGCTCCCTGGACTTATAAAAACCCCACTGCTAGCAGAGATGGCAAAAGTACACACATCCTTTACTCAAGTAGAAGTACAGATACTCGTGTTTAAAATACTCTGGTGAAAGTCGAAGTACTGACTAAACTTCTTTACTCAAGTGAAAGTAAAGAGGCTTTGAAATGTACTTCAGTAAAAAGTACCCATAACTAGCAGCTGTTTTAAAGAGTACCTGACCTCCCTTTATATTAATAGAAAGTAAAGGTATTTGAGTTCAACATGTAAGAAGTAGAAAGTACAGGTATTTGTGTTCAACATGTAAGAAGTAGAAAGTACAGGTATTTGTGTTCAAAATGTAAGAAGTAGAAAGTACAGGTATTTGTGTTCAACATGTAAGAAGTAGAAAGTACAGGTATTTGGGTTCAACATGTAAGAAGTAGAAAGTACAGGTATTTGTGTTCAACATGTAAGAAGTAGAAAGTACAGGTATTTGTGTTCAACATGTAAGAAGTAGAAAGTACAGGTATTTGTGTTCAACATGTAAGAAGTAGAAAGTACAGGTATTTGTGTTCAACATGTAAGAAGTAGAAAGTACAGGTATTTGTGTTCAACATGTAAGAAGTAGAAAGTACAGGTATTTGTGTTCAACATGTAAGAAGTAGAAAGTACAGGTATTTGTGTTCAAAATGTGAGAAGTAGAAAGTACAGGTATTTGTGTTCAACATGTAAGAAGTAGAAAGTACAGGTATTTGTGTTCAACATGTAAGAAGTAGAAAGTACAGGTATTTGGGTTCAACATGTAAGAAGTAGAAAGTTCAGGTATTTGTGTTCAACATGTAAGAAGTAGAAAGTACAGGTATTTGGGTTCAACATGTAAGAAGTAGAAAGTACAGGTATTTGAGTTCAACATGTAAGAAGTAGAAAGTACAGGTATTTGTGTTCAACATGTAAGAAGTAGAAAGTACAGGTATTTGGGTTCAACATGTAAGAAGTAGAAAGTACAGGTATTTGGGTTCAACATGTAAGAAGTAGAAAGTACAGGTATTTGTGTTCAACATGTAAGAAGTAGAAAGTACAGGTATTTGTGTTCAACATGTAAGAAGTAGAAAGTACAGGTATTTGGGTT